CGGCGGCGGCTCCTGGGCTCCTGGGTGGCGCTCGCCAACCCTCGCCGTTAGAGGTCATCCTCAAGGTCACGCAGGAAGTCGGGCTCCCCAGGCGGCTGGGTGTCCCCAGGTCTCAGCCCCGTTCTGCCGGCTCCGGGGTCAAGGTCGCCCCACAGGTTAGAGGCACCGGGAAGGGCAGGCCCTCGGGTCCCCTGGGGCTGGGCACCAACAGTCCCCGAGAAATCAGACCCGAAAAACGCCATTTTTATTTTTATTTTTCCTGTGGAATTTGATCCTCTTTCTCCTTTGTGGTGAGTGTGATGTCCACATGCACCTTTTTAAAAAAAATTTTTTACTTCTTGGTGAAAAAAAAGCTCGACCCTTGGAATGTAGGAGGCTTAGGTTTATATCCTGGCACAGCCCCGGAGGGGCTCTGTGACCCTCAACCAATGGCCAACCGTCTCTGAGCCGTCACGGAGCTGTTTGGGGCTTAAATGAAAGAACTGGGGGTGCCCGGGCCCTGCCCAAGGAAGGTGTGGGTACCCACAGGTTTCGTTGGCAGTCGCCAAGCAAACCACGGTTCCGGGCGTCTGTAAGGGTGTTACCCCGTAACCATGCGCCTGACGGCGTTAGACCTGCGTGCGTGTGTGTGTGTGTGTGTGTGTGTGTGTGTGTGACGGTAACTGTCATATCTAAACAGAAGTCAATCCCTTAAGCGTGGAGCTTACACTAATACCCAACTCAGCTGTGGCGGGAGGTGCACGAGGCCTGCAGACGAGGGATCGTGGAGGGACCGCTGTCAAGGGCTGGTCGGTGTGTGTCGCCCTTAATGTAGGTCTACAACACGCTGCACACACGTGGATGCTGAGAGCGTGTTGGGTTGGGGAATCAGAAGACAAGGCTCCCCTCTGACCTGGACTCCCCCGTGACCTCTGACCGTCATTTGACCTCTGCGGGGCCCGCTGTTCCCTTTAGGGATTGGAGCAGAAGGTGCCCTCGAGACGGGTCATTGAGGAAGACCCAAATGTTTGACCTGAAAAAGTGGTTTCATTCCACCTTCGACGTCTCTCGACAACTTACACCCATGAAATTGGCTTTACAGTGCATAGAGCTTAAGTTTGCAGAGCGGAAGGCAGTCTGAATGTTCAGGTTTCTGGGTCTGAGGCAGGTTGCCACATGGAGCGGAGACGTGAGAAAATAGTGCTCGGAAGTCCCCAAATATCTGCAAACTTGTCGCTAATGCGGCCGTCAGAAATGGCTTCATCTTTCCTTTTTTTTAAATATATATTTTTCTCATTGATTTTTAGAGAGAGTGGAAGGAAAGAGAGAGAAACATTAATGTGAGAGAGACACATCGATGGGTTGCTTCCCGCACGCCCCTGACCAGGGCCTCGAACCCACAACCGAGGTACGTGCCCTTGACCGGAATCGAACCCAGGACCCTTCAGTCACAGGCCGACGCTCTACCCACTGAGCAAGACTGGCTGGGGCCATCTTTGCTTCTTAATACATGGGGTTTAATTCGGTGCCTGACATTTCTTCGTTGATATTAATATAGGTCTCTCGGCTGCTGGGGGCATTCCACAACCCAAAACAGGTGACCAGAGGTTTTGCTGGTGGTGTGAGTATAATTATGTCTTTTCTTTTTTTCCTTTTCGAAGTTTCTCAAGAAAGATGCTCTAACACATCATATAGCCCTTTACCTCCATTTACTTAAAATTAGGGTAAATTGGGCCATTCTTCTACTGTATCTTAAAATTATGGGCTAACATGCAGAAATCTATTAGGTCACATTTGAAAGAATTATGTTACAGCCGGCCATGTCAGCCTGTTACACTGATATCTGGAGGGAGCCTTGTTAAAAATAGATGGATTTTTCCCTTGAGCCTGTTACTTTATTTCACAACCCCATTGGGTAAGACAGGTTTTTTTCCAAACCTCGTCCACGTCGAGAACATATTGTTGAGAAGCTTCAAAACCTGCTTCGCATTTTTATGTTGTGAGCTTCCCCAAAAGCCGTAGGCGGGTCGCCAGGTGGGAGTGAACGCCTCGACGTTTGTCAAGTCCTGAGGCGTCTGCTGTCCTTACGCAGCCTGGATAGAGGATCACGCTGGTGGATCCTCTATTTCTCCTGAAATCCGCTGCTTTTCCCGTCCCCAGCGTCAGTGTCTTGTGCTTTTAAAAGCTGACGCCACGTATTTGGAGCTCGCTGAGGCTGTGGGTCAGTGGCCCCCTGTATGCTGTTGCTTTAACCAGATTCGTGCAGAATCCGGTAGCGTTTCCTGATTCCTCTGCTCCCAGATCACACCCTGGTCCGTGAGGCATCTGTAAGACCACAGTACGTTTTCCCTGCCTTTACTTTCTGAGCTGCGGCCTCCAGCAGGCTTTAGTTTTGGTGGCCTGATGACGCTGATCCGACGTGTTGGGAGAACGGGAAGCAGCAGCCAGCGGTTCCGGGCTCTGCTCGCACGAAGATGCAGGCCGTGGCTGCACCTCAAGGCCACGGCAGCGAAGCGAGCATTTCAGACGCGTTTCTGGGAGCTCACGAGATGGTCGCTGCGCTCTGCTGTTACTTAATTTCCAGGCTCCCCATTAAAAAAAAAAATTAGCCTGGTGGGGAGGGGGCTGTATCTGGAAGGAATATGAAGAGGAACGAATCTTTTAAAAGATTTCTGCAGTTTGCAGAACAGTGTAATTAAAAAAAAAAATTAGCCTGGTGGGGAGGGGGCTGTCTTTGGAAGGAATATGAAGAGGAACGAATCTTTTAAAACATTTCTGCAGTTTGTGCAGAACAGTGTGACCAGGCCCCCTGCTCAGGGACTGTTACTGGGAGGCAGAAGACCAGGGGAACTTGAATCAGGGAATCTTTTTTTTAAAGTAGCAACAGGTGACCGGGACTGGGAAAGGCCAGGGAGCTTGTCTGGGCCAAACCTCAGGTCGGGGAGAGTCCCCGAGTGACGATGGAGAGAGACGGTCAGCCTGTTATCTGTTATCTTAATGGATTTAAATCCTCTCCTCATTTTCCTTGACACGTTTTTATGTCTACGTTTGAAATGCTGGCTTCATCTTGTTTGCAGCCTTTGCAATAAACCGTTGGTGCTACTTTTTAAACACACTTGTCACTCTAAAGGGTATGATCACAGGAACTATTCCTGCTGGTTACAGGTTTACTTCCACGACATTTCTCATGAAGGAGCCAGTTTTGTAGAGGAAATCGGGAAAACGGGGACCCTCTCTGACGTGCAGTCTCGTCTTCTCTGAGTGACAAGCAGACCCCGGGGGCGTTCCGAGTGCGGGGAAGTCTCACGAAATGGGACAGGTTTCCGTGAGAATCCGCATTTTCCGGGACCGAATGGAGAGCGATTGCTCGCCTTCTCTCGAAGCTCAGGACACTGTTGACATGTGGCGCTCTCTGCTTTCACAGACTTGAATTAATGGCCCCTTTGTAGCTTGTCTGAAAAGGAATATCAGTTGGGAAGTTTCCCGAGCAGTTTTAATTTATTTAGTTTTGTTCCATCTAAAGAGCATCGGTTGAGACCTTTGCACAACCCCTTAACTCTGGTACAGAGGACAGTGGAGTCGCTTGTGTCTCGCCTCCTCTGATGGCCCAGGGAGGAAAGTCTGTTTTCTTAACGGCCCCGTTCCCCCAAAAACGGATTTGTCAACGATGTTCTTGTTTAAACCTTCAAAAATAGATTCTTACTGTCTTCCTTGATGGCTTCTTTTTTGATGATTTCTTCTATTCAGGTTCAGACAGTAACTTTAATTCCAGGAGATGGTATCGGCCCAGAAATTTCCGCCGCCGTGATGAAGATTTTTGACGCCGCCAAAGTAAGTGGACGTTAAAAGTCCCGGTAACAGTAATTTGTAGGAAAGTTTCTGAGCCAGTCGGAGTCTGTGACCTCTGAGGACGAACTGTTCGCATCCGTAGGAAGTGGGTATTGTCCGTTGTGGATCTTCACGACTTTAACTTGAACGTCGGTGTTCGCTGCTGTGCTTGAAGCTGCTGCAGTGGCACTGGTTCTGTGGAAAGTGTTTGTGGGTCTCTGAACCCTGCCCGGGCGTGAGGTCTCGCAGTCCTACTGTCTCCCGCCTCCTGCCTTCCTGCCCACGAGAATACAGTTGATATTTCTAAACGCTATGTAGATTTGAAAGGTTAAAAAGCAATTTCCGATGTGGCGTTATCATCGAGTGTGAGGTATTAGTCTAACAGCCAGCGTCCCGTGCAGGTAGATGTGAAGTCCTTTTCTTGTGGGAAGGGAGGGAACTGGGGCTCTGACACGCTGCTCTGTCACTGCTGTTTGTAGCTGCCAGGTGGTAGACGGTAAGATTAAGTCTGGATGAAGGTCCTTGTGCACAAAGCACGTCTCGCTCTGAGCTCATGCCTGGTGCACGCTCCACACTGAGGGATGTGAGCGGCAAGAAAGGACGATGCCTGAGACGGTCACCTCTTAGGTTATGTCAGAGATCTTGCATTTTTAAAACAGCTTCCGGAGAGAAACCGCCCAGGCTGTACAAGTCTCCCATTTAAAGTGAACGCCTCAGGGGGTTTTAGTACATTCATCGGGTTGTGCAATCTTCACACGATCTAATTTTAGAACATTTCCATCACCCGAAAAGGAACCCCACGCTCATGAGCAGTCGCTCCCCTCCCAACACCTCTCTCCCCCTCCCCCGCCCGTCACCAGCCCACGCAGCCACTCAGCTCCAGGTCTCCACAGGTTTGCCTCTGTCCGTCTCATACGAGTGGGGTCTTGTGATGGGGTCTCTCCGGGCTGGCTGTGTCTCCTGCACAGTGTTCTCGGCCCATCCCTGTATCAGTGTCCGCAGTGTTCCTTCTCCGCTCCTGATGGTGGTCTAATTATAGCCACGTGAAGAGTTGTGAGAAACCGAAGCGGGCAGGTGGCAGCTGGGAGTGCAACTGGGCAGGGGTGACGCGGGAGTCCCCGTGGGCGAGCTGGAGAGTGACATCTCTTCTTTTTTAAAATATATTTTTACTGACTTCAGAGAGGGAGGGGGAGAGAGAGAGAGAAACATCCATGATGAGAGAGAATCACGGACCGGCTGCCTTCTGCACGCCCCCCACTGGGGATGGAGCCCGCAACCCGGGCCTGTGCCCTCACCGGGAATCGAACCGTGGCCTCCTGGCTGGGCAGGACTTCGCTTCCTGCGTGCCGGGCACTTCCTGGGCCTGCGTGGTGTGTGCTCGCCAGTGGCGCCCGAGGGTGAGGTGTGTTGGTAACGGGTGGGACGGTCACTCACGCTCAGTCTCTCCCGCTCACCGCGCTCGCTCGGCGGTGTGGCCTGCAGGTGCCCATTCAGTGGGAGGAGCGGAGCGTCACTGCCATTCAGGGACCCAGCGGGAAGTGGATGATCCCGCCGGAAGCCAAGGAGTCCATGGACAAGAACAAGATGGGCCTGAAAGGTAGGCGCACGCGGGCGGATGCGGAAGCGGCTCCTGCTGTTTACGCTGTTGATGAAGCTAGCCAGCAGGGGGCAGCGCACTCAGAGCGAGTGCTGTGTTGTTCATTGTGGGACACACACTGAGTGGCACTTCATGGACACGTCCAAAAATGCTGAATATTGAAAGCTTCCTAAGCAAATACGCTCAAGGTTTTATTATTATTTGCATAACTGATTCACTTCATTGTACTGATGGGGTGTCTGGCCACTTTTTACATTTTTATGATTTTAGTTAACACACGGTTAAGGTCACGATTCAAAATCCTGGCTTTACGTTACGAGACAGGCTTCACGTCCAGGCCGATCGAGGGTGGATCTCATCTCTGCCGCTCCTGCCTGGAGGCCTGGGCAGTTTCTACTCTTGCTTTTCAAAAGGAACTTGGTTTCTCCTCCGTTTCTAAGGGACCGACACAGAGCCGGGACACTGCTGGTGGCGAGGGTTAGGTCGTGTCACGCTTGGTCCCCGGTCAGTGAACATTCTAGAAAGCTTCCCGTGGGGACTCCTTCCTCCATCTGACTCTGTGGGGCGGGCAGCGTCAGAGGCGGAACCGTATGCAAG